GTCTTGCTTCCTACAATGTAATCCCATCCAGTCAGAAGTGTTATGCAGCTTCAATCCTGTCTGAGCTGGTATTATCAACACCCTCAGCGGGACTCGAACCATGCTTGTTAGAGCGACATATAGTCTCGACACGTGAAGAACTCCGCCACAAACTGTCAAGAGTGTCCTCGGGTCGTAGGGCAGCCCTTTTGACATATCCCATTTCTCAGGTGGATTTGTCGACGAAGCAACGTTGTGCCTGCGATAGCAATTGAATACACTACTTATTTTTTGTTTTATAAGTAGTTTTATCGTCTATCCTGTAGTCGATTGCTATATCAAGCACACATTCACTTTAGTGACAATCGCACTACAGAAATGTGATATGCGAAAGGCCCAGGCTTCCTTGAAATGTTCATCTGTCCTGCGACCAGGGCTCGAGTCCCGCTGGAGGTACTGAGGAGACCTGCTCAGGTGAGGCCGAAACTGTACTTCACCCCAGTCGCGATGAAGGTAAATTTTGGACTATCTGAAATTCATTAGAATCATTAGGGATTGTGAAAAAATTCATCTATCATTCTTTCATCAACTTAACCGAAATAAGGTGAATGCTTTTTGTCTGCAATTGAGAGAGAAAGAATGAACTACAGAAAAGTGACTGAAATTAGAACCCTAGTAGAAAAGATCTAGTTGCTAGCCTCAGCTCTCTGTCGTTGAGTCTATCAATTAATTATAAGTACTTCTTATTTAATTTCTTACTGACCTTCCTGCTCTTATTTTCCACCATCTAAAAGCATAGCGATGAGGTTTCCATACACCATTTTGTGATAGGCTCACATGCTCTCTTGCTCTGTTGGCGTGAATGCGGTTGAAAGAATGATAGATGCGAATAAAAGTTGGATTTCGGTATTCTTTTGGTTCACGAGTGTTAAGTTCATTTCCACTTTTGAGTAAAAGTATTTGGTAAAGCAATTCCAAGAACGAGCCCGCAAGAAGACGACGACCGATTCCTCTCTAACAACTGTCGACTGGTCTTACTGACACCTTCTTGTTGATGCTGTTTCCGGGGCAACGGACAAAATCTTAGCACGTTTCCATCGTACTCGAAAACGATTGCCGCAGAAACAGCGTCAACGAGAATGCTCCATTAAAGCTAATCGACACGTGGTAGAGAGGAATCTGCCATTGTCTTCTGGTGAGCTCGACTCTGGAATCTGTTTACCAAACACTTTTACTCGAACTGGAAGAGAGCTGAACAATCAAAAACCAAGAGAAAGTATGAACACCAACATGGTCGTGGTATCCTTTCACTGTATGAAAGTTGTTTAATCTTGTCTTCATAACTTTCTTGATAGTGGCTGGAAGACGTAGAGGAACGCATCTTGTTCGGAGTCCAGAGTCGGACTACAGACTCGATACAATCCCAGACATTTCGCCGGCATCGTCAGTTAGACTTGTCATTCTCTGCCCCACAACACAACTCATTAAAGAGACAAGTGAACTCGACCCTTTCACCGATTGTCTGATAAACAGTTTTGGTATCTCTTTTCCTGTCCTGGGGTATTCACCCATAACATATCTTCATATCACTCCTTCACACTATCACATTTTCTTATTTACTTATTTAAACATGGCTCTGATATGCCCTTTTGTACGGATTTGACGAGACATATTCACACTTCCCAGTGGGAAAGTTGATCCGAGTCTGTTCTTCAAGTACACAATTCTCTTTCTTTAGGTCCTATCAGAGGCGCAAAAATTGCTCTGAAGGCTCCGTCTTCTGTCTCCCTGATTCGGGGAGTTCACTCGACAACTGGCACCATATCCGTGCCTTCCGAGCAAGTCATAGACTTGGCGTTATGGATAGAAGCAGGACAGATGCAGCGGATGATGCGTGAAGTCAAGGCATGACGATGAGAATGACCCGATGCACATTTCGAACAGTGATGAGGGGATCTGAAGCGTCAAGTTGGTCTCCCATTCAACTTGACAACCCACACTTTCGGGATCTACTCAGTAAGGCCGATGTATCTGTTTGGGCAGAGGGTGGGAAATAATGTCTCATAAAGCCAAGATATGGTGGCAGTGATTGAGTGAAGTCACTGAACCGGGAGGATAAGAGACGAATGCTACAGGAGGAGGAAGAGGATAGCGGACATGCATCAACGCTTTCAAAAAAGTGGGGCGAGAGTAGGAAACTAGCGCAAAGTATGAATAGGTTTCACTAACTCCGCTCAAAAGGGCTCATCTGAACCAGGCTTAAATGAGCAATTATGAAGTTGTGACATGAGGATATGGGAAAGGAGAGATACCACAGCAGTCAAAGGAGCAACCACACTTTGACGAGTTTTAGCGCTCTACTATGGTTTGTTGAAGATAGCGGTGAAACGTGCACATGTACCAAGTGCATGTTGCGATTCTCTACTTTTGACATACATACAATGGATTCCGGATAAGATGGGTTCATCTGAGTTTTCCTGCCAATAAGATCAAGTTGCGAAAACAGGGTCAAACATGTGGGTTGATCTCGTCTACACAACTTGGTTGTGTTGTCATGGCAACTTAGTAATAGTAGTAGTAGTAGTAGTGGCAAGACTCACTGACGATGCCCACGAAATGTCAGGAGATGTACCAAGTCTACGCTACAACGCTGGGAATTGTGATAAACATTAGAAGAGAGGAGTTCGGACAAGATGTTTCCAACTAATTGGCCCTTACAAAACCGAGATCAACTGACTTCTGTACATCATATCTTCGAATGTATCAAGCAAGAGATTTGTGAAAGTTCAACATTTCTTCCCAATTTATCATATCGAAAATGGCTCGGCCCCGTCGGCCTGAACGAGAGTCCTTCGAACCGACGGGCCGAGGCTTTCTGCAGAGCATACCCAAAGCGCGAGGGTAGTCGACGGGACCACGCAAGAATTCGCCAGGGCCTGACCAGTCCGTGGCGAAACGTGGCGCCACTTGATCGTCAAGCTGTGACTTCACAGGCCGATCCGAGTTCGGCTGCCCGACGGTCCTGACCGGTGGCAGTCGTCGACGTTCGGCACCTCGGACTGCGCGACTCAAGCCACTCGCCTCGTCCAATGAGCACTCTCGTTCCGTCGGATCAAGGTCGTGCTCACGGTCACCGTCACGGTCGCCGTCACGGTCATGATCACCGTCACGGTCCACTGATCTGTAGGCCTCCGCGTCGCCCAGAGACCGCGCAGGATAGAGGCCGTGAGCCGCGCCGTCCAGCTCGTCCTCCGGCGAACGTTGTCCGCTAGTCAACGTGTCGCGTCGCGTGGGACCGCCAAAAATGCTTCCACCCCGCGAGGCACCCGTCGGCTTGCCGGCTCCAGACCCAGCGCCGGGCGTCATGCCAACTGGTCCGGCCCCGCCGATACCCAAGATCCTCTCGGCCTTCGAGGTGCCCAGAGTTGGATGACTGGCGCGCCAATAGGCCTCCAGGTACTCTGCGAGATGGTCGCAGGCGTCTTGCAGTTGGTTCTCTTCGAGAATCACGTCAAATTGTTCCTGCCATCGAGAGGGAGGAAGGGAAAACCAAGATTTTCACATTAGCCATGCACCAATCAGAAGCAGATGTGCACACTGATGCATGTCGTGGGGGCCAAATTATGAATTGTGTGAAGAAGAGATGCGAGTTTCAGCCTCTTTTCGGGCGAACATGGGTTGAGCTAACGTCCAGCATATGCTCGACATCATCAGAGTTGAAAATGATTCTTGAAAAAAATGGAGCCAGCTTAATCCGGATTCGCTTGAGACAAGGGAGAAAGTGTCAAGGACTGCGTAAAACTGAAGATGGTATTAAAGCTAATTGGCTGCAGTAAAATGAAAGTCGACAGTCGTCTTCTGGTGAAATGGACCTTGAAATCTCTTCATCATGCACAATCATACAAAATAATAAATATTACAAACTATGTTATATAAAATAGATTGATTGTAACCTAGTTACTATACTTAGCTACGATTGAAGGAGGCAAAAGAAAATTGTATTTTGCCATTTCAATCCATCTCGTTACTATATTCGCAATGAGTAGTCCTCCAAACTGTCAGTAAAATATATATCAGAATGTAAGAATATGTGAAATAAAATGGAAGCGTAGGGTCTGCTTATCAGATTGTAGGAAAATTCAAGTACCAGTCGTTCATCACCTCAAACGAAATAGGCTGAACGCATTTCATATCAGAATTAACGTCACTTTCAATGAGAACTGCAACATTTCTTCATTTTGTGTGGTTGCGTATGAAGCCAAGCAATATTGCTATAGAAATCGACTGCTTACCTAGTCTTCGTTTGTAAATAGGTTTTCGAAGACATTTCATATATACATATATATATATATATATATATATATATATA